TAGGGTTTAGGGCTTAGGGTGTTTCAGGGTTTGGGGCCTGAGGATTTAAGGGCTTTCAGGGTTTAAGTTTAGGGTTCATCAGTACTAAGGTAACTTTGCATGTTTCACGGTCAGGGTTTAGGGCATGCGGACTATGACCTGATGTTTGATGGAGGTCATGCGCCGCCCTGTCAAAGCTTACGGTTTGAGATTTAGGGTTTATGCTTGTCTGACGGTTTAGAACAGAAGCAGGAAGAAGCACGAATTCATGTGAACATGTCAGCTTGCCGGCAGAGAAGCCGGCCCGCAGAGCTACACACTCCCAGCTTCAAACCTATAAACACAGCATAGCAGCACATATCCCTTCCAAAGACTAGAATTACTGGTCATGCAGGTCGCTACATATAACCCCTGAGCCAATCCAACTTAAAGCAAGCTTGAGCCTAAACTCTGACCTAAATGATAAAGCCCTACACCGCTGAACCCAACGCAACCAGGCAGACTGTGGCGAAAGCGCCTGCGAACGCCTCTGCTCAATTAGGCGGTTGATCTCCTCCCGGCTGACGTGGCTTCTGAATGATCGAGCCCCTTCTAGAACCTTTGTGCAATACCCCTTCTAGAACGCTCACAGAAACCCTAAGCCCTAAACCCTAAACCCTGCACCCTCAACCCTAAAGCCCTGAATTGATGAGCGAAATGAGGAACTTGATGGAGGTTTGGGGCTTGGGAGCTTGGGAGCGCGCCGCGAGAGCTGAGGGGTTTGGGGGAGAAGTTGCGGGGTTTAGAGCTTCAGGCTCTTGGAGTTTTAGGGTTTAGGGGTTTAGGGTTTAGGGGGTTTAGGGGTTTAGGGTTTAGGGTTTAGGGGGTTTAGGGGGGTTAGGGGGTTTAGGGGGTTTAGGGTTTAGGGTTAGCTTCAGGCTTTTGGAGCTTTACGGGTTCAGGAGCGTGGAGTTTCGGAGTTTAGGGTGTAGTGCTTATAGGGCGTAGGAGCTTAGGGCTTCGGAGCTTTGGGCGCAGGAGTTTAGGGGGGTAGGGTTTCGGGCCCTGGGCTAACATGTTTCCCTGGTGTCAAGCTTCGTACACCGGCAGCTTCAGTTCACGACCTACACGCTTCCAGCAAGTAGCCCCGTCGGTGTAGATGCCCGTGGTCTCAACGAAGGAGACATTGTACGGAGGGGTAAAAGAACGCCTCATCCACAACGGGCATGCACCAGACATCGTGGTGGTCACTGAGGTCCTTGCCGTGGTAGGACCAAAAGCGTCGCAAATCACCATGCGGAACAGGCAGCCCGCACAAGCGGAGCAGAATGACGAAGCTCAAGCCATGACACACCTGCCACCGCAGCCTCGGCATGTCAGTGAGGAAAGCCATGATGTCATGGTACCGGGAAATAGAAACGCCCGCAAGCAAGGTATAGAATAGAACTGTTCTTCAGAAGCGATGCAATGGTTTCCCGCTGCAGGTTTTTCTATGACTTCCTTCACTGACATCCCAGGCGGATGCACCAGTAGTGGAACCTAACCACCCCCCCCCCCCCACCACCCCCAGCATTGACAGGGCAATCTGTGCCCGCGCGATCTATGTAGAAACACCGACTTCAGAATGTATTATGTATGCATGTGCCCATACATAGATACATACAGTTACATGCATGCACGCATGCATGCATGCATGCATCCATCCAGACAGACTGACAGACAGACACACAGACACACAGACACACATACATACATACATACATACATACATACGTACATACATATATACATGTTAATGGCTTGTTTAGACTTTGAACTTATACAAACTTGCGTCTACGGTATATCTATCTTTGAGCGGGCAGCGA